TGCAGTGCACAAGTTTCTCTTTGCAGTGGTTTCTCTTATTGTGGAGCACAGGCTCTAGATGCACAGGCTTCAGTAGTTGCAGCATTTGGTCTCAGTAATTTCAGCAAGTGGGCTTGTAGTTGTGGTGCACAGGCTTCAGTTGCTCTGAGGCATGTGGAATCTTCCGAGACCAGGGATCGAACCAATATCCCCTGCATTGGCAAGCAGATTCTTGTCCATTTTCCCCAGAGAAACCTATCTGTAGCATGGTCTCAGATTTTAAAGCCAACATTATAACCACTGTACCATACTGCATCCTTTGCCATGAGATATTTTTCTTACTGCCTGCAGTTAGTTTGCCCATCTCTTAACAGCCTTTTTGAACCCTCTTAACTTTTCATCTTCTGGGAAGTAGGAAGACTAATGACAGTCCTTTCCAAATTATTTGTAAACTGTATAAGTAAATTACAAAAAGACAGAAATGGTAGGGACCTAACAGAAGCAGAAGATATTAAGAACAGGTGGCAAGAATACACAGAAGAACTATACAAAAAAGATCTTCATGACCCAGATAACCACAATGGTATGATCACTCACCTAGAGCCAGACATCGTGGAATGCAAAGTCAAATGGACCTTAGGAAGCATCACTATGAACAGGGCTAGTGGAGGTGATGGAATTCCAGTTGAACTACTTCAGATCCTAAAAGATGGTGCTGTGAAAGTGCTGCACTCAATAGGCCAGCAAATTTGGAAAACTCAGCAGTGGCCACAGGACTGGAAAAGGTCAGTTTTCATTCCAATCCCAAAGAAAGTCAATGCCAAAGAATGTTCAAAGTACCATACAATTGCACTCATCTCACACACTAGTAAAGTAATGCTCAAAATTCTCCAAGCCAGGCTTCAACAGTACATGAGCTGAGAACTTCCACATGTTCAGCTGGATTTAGAAAAGGCAGAGGAGTCAGAGAGCAAATGGGCAACATCTGTTGGATCATAGAAAAGCAAGAGAATTCCAGAAAGACACCTACTTCTGTTTCATTGACTATGCTAACACCTTTGATTGTGTGGATCATGACAAACTGTGGAAAATTCTTCAAGAGATGGGAATACCATACCACCTTACCTGCCCCCTGAGAAATCTGTATGTAGGTCTAGAAGCAACAGTTTGAACCTGACATGGAATAGTGGACTGGTTCCAAATTGGGAAAGGAATACGTCAAGGCTACATATTGTCACCCTACTTATTTAACTTATATGCAGAGTGCATCATGTGAAATGCCAGACTGGATGAAGTACAAGCTGGGTTCAAGATTGCCGGGAGAAATATCAATAACCTCAGATATGCATATGACACAACCCTTATGGCAGAAAGCTAAGAGAAACTAAATTGATGAAAGTGAAAGAGGAGAGTGAAAAAGCTGGCTTAAAACTCAACGTTCAA